GTCCATGACCATGCCAATGCGGCGCTCAACAATCCCATTTTGCTGCGGAGAGTTCGGAAGCCTGAAGGTCTTCCGGATGCCTCGTGCACGATAGTAGGCTCTCAGAAGGCCAGAGGAGAACTCTCCGCGTCTGTCAGAGTGCAGACGCAGAACAGGAAAGTCCGAGCCGAAGCTCTGCCTGAGCTGGAGACGAGCTGCGCGGATCCAGTCGATCAGCACCTTAGTGACATCACCCTCGCTGCGCAAGGGGAAGACTGCGGTGTAACGCGAGTAGTCGTCAACCACCAGCAGGAAGTAGCGCTCGTGACCCTATCCACAGCGGGGCCTCTGTCGGAGGAAACTGGGAGGAGTGAGCAACAGGCCGCTGGCGCCCCTCGACACAGGGGACACAGGTAGGGCCAGGCCCCTGAGGAAGGGGAGGGAGGGACCGGGGAAGACCAGAAACAAGGAAACGGGAGGCCATGCCTCTGAGACGAAGCAGAGAGGGGTGACCAAGGCGGTGGTGCCAGAGGAGAGTCTCGTGAGACAGGAGATGACACGAACAGGGGGCAGACTCAGGACCAGACCTGCACGCTGCAGCAAACACCTGACCCGACGCAGGTACCTGACCAGACTCAGTGACTGGGGGAGACTCAGTGACTGGGGAAGACTCAGTGACTGGGGGAGACTCAGTGACTGGGGGAGACTTGCAGGAGTGAACTGGTGCACTCCCCCATCTTGTAGGTCAGCACCACTCACCAAGATCATAGAGAACGAGGGGAGGTAAAGACCAGACAGGGTGCCAGAGGGAGCCGCTGGACACGGGAGGACTGTGGAGAAGTGAGCAAGGACAGGACCCCCAGAGGGGTCAGCCAGAGACATCGCAACCGGCCGACCAAGTGGCGTGAGTGTGGTGCGGTCTCGAAAGAAGGAGCGAGAAGCCCCAGAGTCAAGGGTGAAGGTGAGGGAGGCCGAAGCCGACGCAGTACGTGAGAGAGCAGACTCACCAGCACCTGAGGACGCAGATGCACTAGCACCTAGAGCAGCAGCCTCGCAAGCACCTAGGGCGGCAGCCTCACCAGTACCTAGAGCAGCAGTCTCAATGCCCGGATCGGGCGGGAATCACCGGTAACAGTCACCCTCATCACTAATAGTCACAGCATACATGGCAGAAAGAATAGCATCAAAGTTAAGATCAAAGATAGCAACTCTCGCCCTAGACAGCTCGCCCCAGCGAGGGATCTCTGTAGCCTCAGGGAACTGGTGACGCCACGCGTCCGTCAGGCGGCCAAAGCAGCGCTGGGTGGGGTGCGCACCCCCACACTGCTCACCCGCGCGGTCGCCCGTGCGCAGAACGTAGGTGCACGGACCAGTACCCCCACCCCGCTGGCGTGCAGCGTACCACTCACGGAGCTGCTGAGGGGATAGGGTCTCACGACCGCGCTGCTGCTGCTGGCGCGGACCACCACCGGAGCCACTCCTCTGCGTAGAACCGCGACCAGCTCCACCGCCACCTCCGCCACCTCCGCCGCCTCTGCCACCGCCGCCGCCTCCGCCACCACCGCCGCCTCCGCTCCCTCCGCCACCGCCGCCTCCGCCTCCGCCTCCACTGCTGCCACCGGTACCCCCACCCCCTCCACCACTCCCACCACAACCCCCACTCCCTCCGCCGCCTCCACCGCCGCCTCCACCGCCCCCGCCAGCTCCTCCAGCGCCCTTGCCCCCCTTGCCCTTGCCTGTGCGGGGCTTCCCCGAAGGGGCAGACGCAGCGCCGACCGACTCAAAACCAACGAGGTCGGCCGCAGCAGCAGAAGCAACAGAGGGCAAGAGGGGGGAGGGAGAACACCCCTCAAAGACAGGGGTGCGGGGGTCACCACGAGAGGCTCCTACAGCGACAATGCTCTTCTCCGCTGCTAGGAGGGCCTTCTCGAGGAGGTCAACGGTGAGAGTGGTGGGGCACACTTCGAGGAAGTGGTCCCTGACTACGCGAAGGGAGTCAGGGAGCTGGGTGACTATGTAGTAGAGGGTGATATACATGGGGGGGGGGTTCTTGGCGCAGAACTCAACAGGAAGCGCAGCGCGGTAGCGAGTTTCACTAGTGCGGAGGTGCGTAATGAGGTCAGCGACTGTGGGAAAGGCAGCAAGGTCAGGGAATAGGTACAGTAACATGAGGCGGCTCAGTGCAGCAGTGGCAGGGGAGGAGTAGCGTGCAACTACAGCGTCTTACAAGGTCTGAGTACTCTTGTACTGACTAAAGTGCGCACGCTCGGAGGTAGGGAGGTGGCGACGCACAGCAAAACGTGCAGCAGCATCGCGCGTGGCCCACTGGGAGCGAACAGTGGCGTCAGCATCAGCAGCAGGGGCAGGAGAGGCACCAGAGGTGAGGTCAAAGAGGGAGAGACCGTCTGCCCTATCGCACTGTAAGAAAAGCTGCAGGTCATCTATCCAGACGTCAAAGTCAATGGCCCGACCCTCAGCGTCAAAAGCGAGGACACTAGGGGTAGCCATGAGAGCAGTAGACTAGCAGCACAGACAGTAGGGTAAGGGCAGTCTAGTGACAGAGGCGCTGCTCTCACCGGACAGGGCTGCTCGGGCGGCTCAGTGGTGCGGGCGGCTCGGCTGTAGGGCGGCTCGGCGGCTCGGCTGCTGGGCGGCTCGGCTGCTGGTCGGCTCGGCGGCTCGGCTGTTGGGCGGCTCGGCTGCACGGCGGCTCGGCTGCACGGCGGCTCGGCTGCACGGCGGCTCGGCTGCTGGGCGGCTGGGCGGCTCGGCGGTTCGGCTGCAGGGCGGCTCGGCGGCTCGGCTTCTCGGCTGCTGGGCGGCCCGGCGGCTCGGCTGTAGGGCGGCGCGGCGGTCGGCTGCTCGGCTGGCTCGGGTGGCGGGCGGCGCTGCAGCAGGCGACGGCGCCTGCGCCGTAGTGGTGGTGGCGAGGCCGCGAGGAGACGGCGGCGAGGCCGCAGGTAAGGGCGGCGGGGCCGCTCGAAAGGGCGGCGGTGCCGCAGGTAAGAGCGGCGGTGCCGCAGGTAGGTGGCGGGGCCGTAGGTAAGGGCGGCGGGGCCAGAGGTAAGGGTGGCGGGGCCTCAGGAAAGGGCGGCGGGGCCGCAGGTAGGTGGCGGGGCTGCAGGTAAGGGCGGCGGGGCCAGCATGTAGGTGCCGAGGCCGCAGGGAAGGGCGGCGTCAGGCCGCAGAACGGCGCGAGGCCGCAGGGCGGCGGATCGGGTCCATGAAGGGCGGCGCGAGGGCCGCGAGGTAGGCGACGGGGCCGCTAGGGCGGCGCGACGGGGTCGAGAAAGGGGAGCGCGACTCGGGCTAGGGCTGAGCGCGCTCCGGGCAGGAAAAAAAAAATCGAATTGGTGGGCCCTAGGAACAGTTCCCACGAGGGAACCTGCTCGATACCATGAGAAAACTGAAACTAGAATGAATGAACTATGAAAGAAGTGGGTACAAGTACTAACCCTAATTGGGTTGTACCCCCTATGGGATACCCCACTACAGCCTACACAAATGTATAAGCTATATAATGTTCCGACAGTCATCACATGCCGCCCCTCCCGCCCTGGCACAAATGGGATCCGAGGCAAAACGAAAAACCCGCGGAATCCCTCCAGGCCCCCAGAAATTCCGGCTGACCAGGCCAAAAAAACCCTCCGAATCCCGCGGGTTCAATGTCGTATTCTTATGACAATATATATGTCAGCCGTAACAGTAGAAATTGAAGGAGCTCGACGGGAAACAACTCGATATACCATTGTAGAATTTAAAAAAGTGTTTCGTAACTCAAAATATCAGCCAAGTTAAGGCCCTAAAATTAATATACGATTGGTATTTTCTTTGCAGACATTTTGTTCTCGACGGAAGGGGTATTTCCGTCGAAAATGTGTCAATTCTCGACAGAAGGGCGTTTATACTTCAGTTCTGCGATTTTCTGTCTTCGACAGAGCCCTAGTTGCCATTAAAAGGGTGTATCGCCTTTTCTTCGACGAAAACTCAAATGTGATGTTCGACAAGAGGTGCTTCCGGGATGTTCGTGTCAGATTTATATGACATAGCTACTGTAGGCTATAGTGGGGTAGCACATATGGGGTACAGCTTTCTAGGGTTTGTACTTGTACCCAACTTTCCCTTAGTCATTTTCATTCTCGTTTCAGTTTTCTCATGGTATTGAGTAGGTTCCCTCGTGGGAATTGTTCCTAGGGCCCACCGTTCTTTTTTTTCTGCCCAGAGCGCACTCAGCCCCTGCCCGAGTTGCGCTCCCCTCTCACGGCCCCTAGCGGCCCTGTCGCGCCGCCCTTGCGTCCCCGTCGCGCCGCTCTTGCGGCCTCGTCGCGCCGCCTTCGCGGCCTCGTCGTGTCGCGCCGCCCTCGCGGCCCCGTCGCGCCGCCCTCGCGGCCCCTTCGAGCCGCCCTTGCGGCCCCTTCGCGCCGCCCTTGCGGCCTCTTCGCGCCGCCCTTACGGCCCCGTCGCCCGCCCTCGCAGCCCCTTCGAGCCGCCCTTGCGGCCCCTTTGCGCCGCTCTCGCGGCCTCTTCACGCCGCCCTTGCGGCCCCGTCGCCCCACCCTTGCGGCCCCGGCCCCACCCTCGCGGCCCTGGCGCCGCTCCTCGCGGCTTCGTCGCAGCCGCCCGCGACCCCACCGCCGCCCTTTGCGGCGCCGTCACCACACCCGTGCGACCCCGGCGCCGCCCTTAGCGGCCCCGCCGCCGCCCTCAGCGGCCTCGTCGCCGCCCCACCCGGCCCTACCGCCGTCACCGCCGAGCCGCCGAGCCGCCGTTGCCGCCGAGCCGCCGTTGCCGCCGAGCTGCCGAGCCACCGAGCCGTCGAGCCGTCGTTGCCGCCGAGCCGCCCTTGCCGCCAAGCTGCCGAGCCGACGAGCCGCCGTTGTCGCCGAGCTGCCGTTGCTGCCGTTGTCACCGAGCCGCCCCTGCCGGCGAGCCCCGGTCCTTCTCGCCTGCCCGGTAAGAGCAGCGCCTCTACCACTGCACTACCCTTACCCTGCTGCTCGCGCTGCTAGTCTACTGCTGTCATGGCTACCCCTAGTGTCCACGCTTTTGACGCTGAGGGTCGGGCCATTGACTTTGACGTCTGGGTAGATGACCTGCAGCTTTTCCTACAGTGCGATAGGGCAGACGGTCTCTCCCTCTTTGACCTCACCTCTGGTGCCTCTCCTGCCCCTGCTGCTGATGCTGGCGCCACTGTTCGCTCACAGTGGGCCACACGCGATGTTGCTGCACGTCTTGCTGTGCATCGCGACTTGCCTACCTTTGAGCGTGCGCACTTTAGCCAGTACAAGAGTGCTAAGACCTTGTACGACGTTGTAGTTGCACGCTACTCTTCCCCTGCCACTGCTGCACTTAGCCGCCTCATCCTGCCGTACCTCTTCCCTGACCTCGCAGCTTTTCCCACAGTCGCTGACCTCATTACGCACCTACGCACTAGTGACATACGCTACCGCGCTGCCCTTCCCGCTGAGTTCTGCGCCAAGAACCCCCCCCCCCCCCTATGTACATCACCCTCTACTACATAGTCACCCGCCTCCCTGACACCCTTCGCACGGTCAGGGACCACTTTCTCTCTGTTTGCCCCACCACCCTCACCGTTGACCTCCTCGAGGAGCGCCTCCTAGCAGCAGAGAAGAGAATAGTCGCTGTAGGAGCCTCTCCTGGTGACCCTCGCACCCCTGTCTTTGAGGGGTGCTCCCCCTCTCCTCTCTTGCCCTCTGTTGCCTCCGCTGCTGCGGCAGACCTCGTTGGTCTTGAGTCGGTCGGTGCGGCGTCTACCCCTAGCGGGAGACGCCGCCCTGGCAAGGGCAAAGGGGGCAGGGGCACTGGAGGAGCTAGCGGGGGCGGTGGAGGCGGCGGTGGAGGAGGCGGAGGGAGTGGGGGTGGCGGTGGGGGTGGTGGCGGGGGTGGAGGTGTCGGTGGCGGCAGTGGAGGCAGAGGCGGCGGCGATGGTGGCGGTGGGAGCGGAGGTGGCGGAGGTGGCGGCGGTGGAGGAGGCGGCGGCAGAGGAGGTGGAGCTGGTCGGGGTGGCGCTGCGCAGAGGGTCGGCTCCGGTGGTGGTCAGCGCCAGCAGCAGCAGCGCACTCGTGAGATCCCCCCCCCTCAGCAGCTTCGTGAGTGGTACGCTGCACGCCAGCGGGGTGGGGGTACTGGTCCGTGCACCTACGTCCTACGCATCGGCGACCGCGCGGCCCGCACTGCTCACTCGCGCGGTCACCGGTGCGTAGGATGTAGGTGCACGGACCAGTACCCCCACCCCACTGGCGTGCAGCGTACCACTCACGGAGCTACTGAGGGGGGGGGATGTCACGAGTGCGCTGCTGCTGCTGCTGGCGCTGACCACCACCGGAGCCGACCCTCTGCGCAGCGCCACCCCGACCAGCTCCACCTCCTCCGCCGCCTCCTCCTCCACCGCCACCACCTCCGCCACCTCCGCTCCCACCGCCACCGCCGCCGCCGCCTCCGCCTCCACTGCCGCCACCGACACCTCCACCTCCGCCACCACCCCCACTGCCACCCGCACCCCCTCCGCCGCCTCCACCGCCGCCTCCACCACCGCCTCCACCGCCCCCGCTAGCTCCTCCAGCGCCCCTGCCCCCCTTGCCCTTGCCAGGGCGGCGTCTCCGGCTAGGGGTAGACGCGCACCGACTGACTCAAGCCCAGCGAGGTCGGCCGCAGCAGCAGAGGCAACAGAGGGCAAAAGGGGGGAGGGGGAACACCCCTCAAAGATGGGGTGTGCAAGGGTCACCACGAGAGGCTCCTACAGTGACTATGCTCTTCTCTGCTGCTAGGAGGGCCTTCTCGAGGAGGTCAACGGTGAGAGTGGTGGGGCAAACTGAGAGGAAGTGGTCCCTGACTACGCGAAGGGAGTCAGGGAGCCAAGTGACTATGTAGTAGAGGGTGATGTACATGGGGGGGGGGGGGGGTTCTTGGCGCAGAACTCAGCAGGAAGCGCAGCGTGGTAGCGAGTGTCACTAGTGCGGAGGTGCTTAATCAGGTCAGCGACTGTGGGAAAGGCAGCAAGGTCAGGGAAGAGGTACGGCAGCATGAGGCGGCTCAGTGCAGCAGTGGCAGGGGAGGAGTAGCGCGCAACTACAGCGTCGTACAAGGTCTGAGCACTCTTGACCTGGCTAAAGTGCGCACGCTCAGAGGTAGGTAGGTGGCGACGCACATCAAGACGTGCAGCAGCGTCGCGTGTGGCCCACTGTGAGCGAACAGTGGCGTCGGCATCAGCAGCAGGGGCAGGAGAGGCACCAGAGGTGAGGTCAAAGAGTGTAGGAAAAGCTGCAGGTCATCTACCCAGACGTCAAAGTCAATGGCCCGACCCTCAGCGTCAAAAGTGAGGACACTAGGGGTAGCCATGACAGCAGTAGACTAGCAGCGCGAACAGTAGGGTAAGGGCAGTGCAGTGAGAGAGGCGCTGCTCTTACTGGACAGGGCGGCTTGGGCAGCTCGGCGGCTCGGCAACTCGGCGGCTCGGGCGGCTCGGGCGGCTCGGCGGTACGGCGGCTCGGCGGTACGGCGGCTCAGCAGCAGCTGCAGATCGGCGGCTCGGCAACCCGGCGGCTCGGGCGGCTTAGGTGGCGCGGCGGCTCGGGCGGCTCGGGTGGATCGGGCGGCTCAGCAGCAGCTCGGCGGCGCCGGCGGCTCGGTGGTGACGGCGGCTCCGCATGGGGACGGCGGCGGGGCCGGGTGGAGCGACGGCGGGGCCGGGTGGAGCGGCGTCAGGGCCAGTAGAGGCGGTGCCGGGGCCGGGAGGGGCAGCTCCGGGGCCGCAAGGGTAGGCGACGGGGCCAGTAGAGGCGGCGACGAGGCTGAGAAGGGCGGCACCGGGGCCGCAGGGGTAGGCGACGGGGCCGCTAGGGCGGCTAGGAGGTGGGGGGTCGCGAGGGCGGCTCGAAGAGGCCGCGAGGGCGGCTAGGAAGGGCCGCGAGGGCGACGTGAAAGGGCCGCGAGGGCGGCGTGAACGGGCCGCGAGGGCGGCGCGACGCGACGGAGCCGCGAGGGCGGCGGATCGGGGCCGCGAGGGCTGCGCGACGCGGCCGCTAGGGCGGCGCGACGTGACGCGGCCGCTAGGGCAGCGCGACGGGGCCGCGAGAGGCCGCTAAGGGGCCGTGAGGGGCCATGAGGGCGGCGCGACGGGTCCGCTAGGGGCCGTGAGAGGGGAGACCCACGGAGCGCGACTCGGGCAGGGACTGAGCGCGCTCCGGGCAGGAAAAAAAAAAATCGAATCGGTGGGCCCTAGGAACAGTTCCCACGAGGGAACCTGCTCGATACCATGAGAAAACTAGAACGAGAATGAAATGGCTAAGGGAAAGTTGGGTACAAGTACAAACCCTAGAAATTTGTACCCCATATGTGCTACCCCACTATGGCCTAGAGTAGTTATGTCATATAAATCTGACATATTATTGTTGTAGTAGAGCTTGGCAACTGCATTTTATTATCCCGTCAAAAATACCATATTTTTTTAATATAGGAAACACTTGAAAAAAGCATTATATTCAACAAGCTCCAGCTTTCCAAATTCCTGTACCTGAAAAAGTAGGTACTTTACATTGTCGGAACATTATATAGCTTGTACATTTGTGTAGGCTGTAGTGGGGTATCCCATAGGGGGTACAACCCAATTAGGGTTAGTACTTGTACCCAACTCATTCATAGTTCATTCATTCTCGTTTCAGTTTTCTCATGGTATCGAGCAGGTTCCCTCGTGGGAACTGTTCCTAGCGCCCACCAAGTCGAAACTCTTTTTTCCTGCCCGTAGCGCGCTCAACCCTAGCCCGAGTCGCGCTCCCCTTCCTTCACCCAGTCGCGCCGCCCTAGCGGCCCCGGTGCCTACCTCGCGGCCCTCACGCCGCCTTGCGGCCTCTTCGCCCGCCCTACAGCCCGAGCGGCGCCCTTCCTAGCCCGCGCGCCGCCCGTTCAGGCCCGTGCGCCGACCGTTCAGGCCCGCGCGCCGCCCTTCCTGGCCCGCGCGCCGCCTTTCCTGGCCCGCGCGCCGCCTTTCCTGGCCTGCGCGCCGCCCTCCCTGCCCCGATCCGCCTGCCTGCGGCCTCGGCGCCTACCCTGCGGTCCCGCCGCCCTTACGTGCGGCCCCGCCTACTGCCTGCGGCCCAGCCACCTACCGGGGGCCTTGTCAAACATTATATATATGTTGTAGTTGTTTAGGCTACAGTGGGTTAGCCTATAGGGGTACACAATTCTAGGGTTTCCTACTTGTACTCATTTTCATGCTAGTTCATTCATTCTTGTTCAACATGGTATAGAGCAGGTCCTTCCTAGGACCGATTATTTTTTAAGGCCCACCACTACCTACCTACCTACCTACCTACCTACGCCCTAGGGCGCCTCGGCTTTCACGCCCTAGGGCGCCTCGGCTTTCACGCCCCTAGAGGCCCCGTCGGCCCCGCGCTCTCGTCCCTAGAGGCCTCGATCGGCCCCGCGCTCGCCCTTAGAGGCCCGGAACGGCCCCGCGCTTACCCCTAGAGGCCCCGATCGGCCCCACCCTCGCCCTTAGAGGCCCCGAACGGCCCCGTGCTTGCCTCTAGAGGCCCCGAACGGACCCGCGCTCGCACCTAAAGGCCCCGATCGGCCCCGCGCCCATCCCTAAGGCCCTGGGAGGCCCCGCGCTTTCCTTTAGCGGCCCCCATTCGGCCCCGCGCTCGTCCCTAACGGCCCCGATCGGCCCCACGCTCGCCCTTAGAGGCCCACGTCAGCCCCGCGCTCGTCCCTAACGGCCCCAATCGGCCCAACGCTCGCCCTTGGAGGCCCACGTCGGCCCCGCGCTCGTCCCTAACGGCCCCGATCGGCCCCACCCGCTCCCCGCGCTCGCCTCTATAGGCCCCGAACGGCCCCACCCAGAACGAGCCGCCCGAACCGAGCAGCCCGAACCGAGCCGCCCAGTCCGAACCGAGCCGCCCAACCCGAGCCGCCCAGTCCTAACCGAGCCGCGCCGCCCGAACCGAGCCGCGCCTCCCTACCTGTACCGAGCCGCGCCGCACTACCTGTACCGAGCCGCGCCGCCCTACCTGAACCGAGCCGCGCCGCCTTTACCGAGCCGCGGCGCCCTACCTACCCTTTGGGTATTCCTACTGCTGCTACCATTACTGTTACTACTGCAATAACTAGCCCTCCTGTGCTAGCCTTCGATGCTGAGGGCCGCCCAGTGAAGTTCGACACCTGGCTTGATGACCTACACCTCTTCCTACAGCTCACTGCCAAGGAAGACATCTCACTGTACGATCACGCCCTAGGCCACGCTACTGCTCCTGCTGCTACTGCTGACAGCACTGCCCGCTCACAGTGGCAGACTCGTGACGCCCACGCTCGCTTCGCTATTCGCAACTCTCTGCCGATAAATGAGACTTTGGGCACTTTGGGCAGCACAAGACTGCGCAGGCACTGTACACTGCTGTCGTTGCCCGCTACTCCTCACCGGCCTCTGCCGCACTAGGCAGTCTCTCTCTTCCCTACCTGTTCCCCAACTTAGCCTCTTTCCATACAGTCGCTGACCTCATCACCCACCTCCGCACTAGTGAGGCTCGCTTCCGCGCTGCTATGCCTGATGAGTTCCTTGCCACGAACCCACCCCCGCTCTGGCTCACTCTCTACCACCTAGTCACGCGCCTCCCTGACACTCTACGCTCAGTCAGGGACCACTTCCTAGCTCGCTGCCCAACTGAGCTGACCATTGCCCTCCTCGAGAGAAACTGCTTGCAGCTGAGGCTAGCATAGTCGCTGTAGGTGCCTCTCGTGGCGACCCCCGTACCCCGTTCTTTGAGGGGTGTTCTCCCTCCTCCCTTCTTCCCTCTGTCGCCTCTGCTGCTGCTGTCGACCTCCTTGGTGCTGAGAAGGTCGGGACTGCGTCTGCTTCGAGCGGGCGCCGCAGCGGCAAGGGCAAAGGGGGCAAGGGCGGTGGCGGTGACAGCGGGGGAGGCGGTGGTGGGGGAGGTGGTGGCGGCGGGGGTTGGGGTGGTCGAGGAGGTGGCGGCGGCGGGGGTGGTCGTGGAGGCACTGGCGGTGGCCAGGGCCAGCAGCACACTCCGTCGCCCCAGGAGGTCCGTGAGTGGTACACGCAGCACGGGGGGGGGGGCGGGGGGGGGGGGGGGGGGGGGGTGGGGGGGGTGGCCTTAGCTGCACGTACGTCATTCGCACAGGTGACCGCACTGGCCAGCCGTGTGGGGGACCGCACGCCACACAGCGTTGCTTCGCTCGTCTGAACGAC